GAGCAGAACTACATCAGCGCCTACTCGCTCATGAGCCCTCATGGTAAGGCTTTGCATTTTCCCCATGTTCCCATAGTCAGAACTACATGAAATTTACAGCATACATGCATTTGATGTGTATCTACCAGAATACGAGTAGAAGCCTCACCGGACACATGCTGGGGGAGGAGAATGAGCCCGACGCGACCCTCCATCGATGCGCCATTCGGCTACCTCACCTATTGAAGCAGCAAGCGCCCGCCCGCCCTCCCGCCTCGCTTAGTCTACAGCGTCGGTCGTCGTTCCGCTGCTCGTTGACCTCTCCTCAGCTCAGTTGCTGAGTTTGTATTCTAGCCATGGTGTACTGTTTTTTCCGAGGTATATTCGCGCGGGGGAGTAGCTCTGGAAGGGGCCTCTGGTCACATAATCGTCCATCACCATTCAGGCGCCGGCTCAGAAGGAGAGGAAAAAAATAAAGTGGGAGAATTGAGGGAGGCTAGTGAGACATCGAAATTCCAGCGAGTAGATGTATTAGTGCTCGACGTCAACTGAACAACATCGCTATTTACAGGCTGTAAGCGCTGTCTCTCGACAGCGTTACTTCAAAACCGAAAACATGATTGCTAGGGACGACAGAAAAGAAACGAATGATCTGAGACGGAACAAGCAAAGGGCGCGGCATGTACTCACCCTTTCAGCTTTGTGGACGATGTTTGGGTAGGTAGTGGAGCGCACCTTCGATCAACACTGTAAGCATCATCTCCTACTATCGGAAGCGGTCGCTGCGCGGAACGAGAGATTCATGCGTTCCTTTCCTTTCCACCAGAGAGCTATATGGGCTTTCCCTGCCGTGTTGAAGGACCATGTAACCGCCAGACCAAGCCAATTTAACATTGCGCCCGTCGTGGGCTTGATGTGGAGGTGCTCGCGTGCGGACGATGTCGGAAGCAATTCTGTGGGACCAACGGGACAGGCAAACGCGCAAACATTGCTGTACTTTGCCAACCGACTGAGATGTTGCGACGTTCGCAACCAGACTTACCTTCTCCGCATTCCTTTACCCTCTCATTATGTTGAAGAGGTCCAGAAACCGGGTTGGCCAGCATGCTTCAGAGTAATATGAATGTCGGTGACCGAGACGAAACTTGTCGAGGAGACGGCAACAAGCGTTGACGGAGACCGACGGAGGCGCAGCCACGGCAACACTGCCCGAGTGTCGCACGTGACGCTGGAGAGAGGATTCACACAAACTCCGCAAGACCGTAGTGACTTCTACGAGGGCCCTCCTCCACATCCGATGTTAGCGTACTCTCAGCTCTCTATCTAATCACTGCGCTCATGGCCGAACTTGGTGGGCGGGAGTACTTCAATCTTGGCAAGCGGCGGAAGGTCCTGCCACGACAGACACTGTCTACTGCAGTGGCGACTCCTAGCTCCGGAAACAGCGATGCAGCCGCAACAGCGACCTCGAATAATGACACAGGAGCGACTGTGTGTATCGTGCTTTTCTGTCGAGAGACCTTCATGTGTGTTTACCCCATTCCTGGTATCGTAGTCTAATGCACCTTCGGGAGCGACGACTTCCTCTCCTTCTGGACCTACAGGCAGGCAGAACCCGTCGGATTCGACTGCTGATGCGTCCAACCCGACCGAACCGTCCGCATCGAACAATAACGGCTCCACTAATGGTACTTCACAACCTCCCTCGTCAGGCCCTTCCTCCGACGGCCCAACGTCCAATCCTACTACGCAACCTACAAGCCAACCCCCCACGTCAGGTCCGACCACCCAACCTACAACGACACCTCCGACGACACCTCCTACTTCACCACCCACTAGCGGTCCTTCCTCAAACCCCACATCACCGCCAACGTCTGATCCGTCGTCTCCTACCTCTCAGCCATCCTCACCACCATCATCTCAGCCGACCTCCCTGTCGTCGTCGTCCGACCCTTCCACTCAGTCGTCCTCTCAACCTTCATCTCCACCGCCGACTTCACTGCCGCCCACCAGTTCCACCTCCGCACCGCCTACTACTTCGCCTCCGAGCGAGACACCGCTGGGTCTTGCGGGGAACTCTACCTCCGGCACGTTTCAGACCACCATCTTCTCTGCGGTTTCCACAGTAGTCGTCAATGGTACGACGTCTACCGTATGTGTCGTTCTTGCCTAAATGCATCATCTCGCTCACGAACACATGCACATGTTTTATGCAGATATTTTCGGCAATCCCCACCACTCTATCGTCCGACGATGGCAGCTCTAGTACCACGGCTACGACGCGGGACATCATCGCCGGCACAGTAGGCGGAGCAGCCTTTCTCATCCTAGTCGGCGCCATTTTCCTCTTTTATCGCCGACACCAGTCGAAGAAGTCATCCTTCTTCAAGCGCATGCAGCCTAAGCCTCGCACGGGTCTGCTCGACGGCGAGGACATCGACGACTACGACTTGGGCACCCCCATGGCGCGCTACCGCGACTATCCGGTTTCCGTCGCCTCGGAGCACTCCCGCTCCATCACGAACGAAAGCCCAGGCCGGTCTCCACTCGCGCGCGACTTCAATGCGCCCTCTCCCGGGCCCTCGCTCATGGCCGCACCTATGGACCCGCACCGCGCGCCCACGCCCAACACAGGCGGCCTCCCACCCGGAGCCGCGGTGCCCCACCTCCTAGGCATGCGCGCCGAGACCGGGTCCATCTTCCGCGAGGCTGTGTGGCCGCCCCCAGGCCAGACCAGCAACTTCGTCGACCCCCTCAAGGCCGCGTCCTCGGTCGACCTGAGCAAGATCATCGACGACGTCATGGGCCCCAGCCCGACGGCCTCTTCCCAGGCGCATCCCCCTAGCGCGTTCCGCCAGCGGCAGGGGGCGCACACGGGGAGCGCGAGCGGGAGCACGACGTCGCTCATCGGGGACGACCCCTTCGCGTCGCTCTCGAACCTCCAGACGCACTCGCGCGAGACGAGCGAGACGCCGCTCCTCTCGAAAGCGAACACGAGCACGCCTGGCTTCTTCGAGTCTCGGAGGCCCATCTCGGTCCCTGAGACCCCTGGCTCGCCGATGCCCCCGCCTAGCATGGGACCGCTGTTCGTAACGAACATGGGCCCGCTGTCGCCATCGTCGACGATCTCGCATTCGCCGACCTTCACGCAGTCGCAGCAGCAGGCGCTCGGGCAGACGACGTCGCCCACGGTGACGA